ATATATATATATATTATTGTACAAAATATATAATCATTAATTATAGAGTTAGAAAGTTAAAAAAAATAAAATAAAAAATAAAGTAGCTTTTTTTACAAATATGTAATTATATTTTCCTTATTTATAGAAAAATAAATCTTTGGTTTACAAAAAATATCTAAAACCCTTAAATTAAACAAAAAATAATAATATTTTAACACTTTTTCTCAAGTTGATGCATAAATGTCTCATATGTTAACGGCCTCTAAGAACACTTTAGATAAATTTGTTCCAGTTAAGATATCTGTTAATTGATTCTCTAATCATGTCTTCAATAACTTTAATATCTTCTCGTCCAATCTTACTATCACAATATAATTGAAGTTGTTACCATGATACAATTGAAGTTGTTACTCAAGTGGATAACTCAAATATGATAGGAGAAATCTTAGTCATAGTATTTCACATAGCTCGAGAGCCAACCTCTAAGTTCAACTTTTGTACTTGAACGTACAACATTATATTTTTTTACTTCTCTATGTAACAAGGTTACCTCCAACAAAGGTAAAGTAACCTAAAGTATAACTTCTGTCATTTATGGATCGAGCCCAATCAACATCGATATATATACTCACACTTTGATTATTTCCAAATGCTTTCATAAACTCTGTGAACCTTCCAAATCATGCTCTTGGAGACTGTTTGAGGTCATACAATGACTTATTTAATCTACACACATTCTTATTGTATGCTTATAGTATCTTACACCTCGGAGGAAGATCCATGTAGACTTATTCAGATATTTCATCATGAAAAAATGCATTCTTCACATCAAATTGTTGTAATGATCAATCCAAGTTTGCTGCTAGAGATAACAAAACTCAAATTGTGTTAATTTTATTTACTGGTGCAAACATATTTGTATAATCAATTCCATAGGTGTGGGTGTACCCCTTGGCCACTAGTCTTACTTTAAAGTGCTCAATATCGTACCATTTGCTTTATACCTAATCATATAAACTCATTGACATCCAATTGTTTTCTTTTCTAATAGGAAATCAATAAGTTCCCAGGTATTATTTTTCAGCAAGGACTTCATCTCCTCATTTATAGTCGCTCTCCACTATGAACCCATGGATTCTTGCACATTGTTAGTAATAGATACAATAAATAATTGATTTGTAAATAAATGATTAATGATTAGACACATAATGGATCATTGGATAACTAACTTTATTGAAAATTTCAGGTTCACGTGGATTTAGGAATACCTCTATTGTATCGTGGTGGTAGTTTATTTTTTGACAATTCAACCACTAAATTAGGAGCATTATCAACCAATGATTGGTTTCGTATGATAGTTTCTTGAGAAACTACATGTTCCTCCAAAGGTGGTGAACTTGTTACTTTCATTTTTTGATCATTATTGCCACTACTACCTCTTGCTTCTTTAGATAGTCATATTTCGTTAAATACATTCATATCATTATCCAAAGTCAGAACTTTCTTTTGTTGTTCCCCTAAAGATATGGCTCAAAGGAAAAATACATGGAATCTTCGTGGAAAACAACATCCAAGGTAACATACATTCGTTGAGTTGGAAGATGATAACATCTATATCCTTTTTGATGAGTAACATATTCAATAAAGACACTTCGCAATGCTTTATGAGCTAGTTTGTTATGCTAATGCTTATGAAGATGAACATATGTTACAAAATCAAATATGTGAAGAGTCAAATTTTAGACAATTGATGTAGTAATTGCTTCAGTAAAGGCATGCGATGGTGTTTGAAAGTCAATAGTATTAGAAGGAACCCGATTAATTAAATATATAGCAGAGGTAATTGCTTCTCTCCAATAAGATAATGATACATGGACTTCTATCAATAAAGCATAAACAACTTTCAACATATAATTATTTTTTTTCACGTGCTCCATTGTACTGGGGTGTATTAGGACAAGTTGTTTGGTGAACAATTTTTTCTACTTCCAAGTATCACTAAAATTTAAAACTTAAATATTCACCCTCATTATCACTACATAAAATCTATACCTTTACACTATATTGAGTACAAATCATTTTGTTAAACCTTTGAAACAACAAATTTACTTCACTTTTGGACTTCATAAAACATATCCAAGTCATTATAGTGCAATCATCAATAAACATAACAAACTAACACGATCCACCTATAGTGGCCACCTTGGATGAACCTGAAACATCAAGATATATAATCATGAAAAGAATTTTACTTTTATTCATGCTTAATGAAAATGAGACATGGTGACTCTTTGCAAGTTTGCAAATATCACCCTTAAAACATGA